TAAAAAAAATTTTTTTTAAAAAAAAAAAGCAAAGGAAAATGTTGAACAAAACATGCTTTTCTTTTTCATCAGACTTTCTAGTTTCTAGAGGTCGAAGGGCATTTATAAAGGTTTCAGTTTCACACCGCAATTACAAAGAGAACAAAAAACAAGGAACTCCTCTAATCACGTAAAATCTGGTAAATCATTATGATTTGTATTCTTTTTATGCTAAGAACATTATGTATTACGGAATCAGAGGAGGTGACTATTGCCAGAAGAGTTGCCTAACAAGAGAAAAGTAGTTATCGATGGCAGGCGGACAGAGCAACGGGAAACAGTAAATTTCATATGATCTCCAAGTTATACTAAGCAAAAACTTTTAGAAAGGCAACATAGAACTATTGCACTTGTAATTTGCCCTTCTGCGATGCGGAATTACAAAGACCGTCACCGCCTCCACTTTTCCCAGATTTTACTCGACCCTTACATTAATAGCGCTAACCTTATTGCGGAAACTAGTGATAGACATAAACTTTCAAAATTCAATAAAAATCTTTCACTAGACTGCTTTTGCAGCCCATCCCTCCGGCCCGGCCGCGCCGCCCCGGGGGGGGGGGGTGGGGAGGGAAGGGAAGGGAATAAGCAAAACTAAGTGTTCCGCTAGAAAATGTGAAATTTTTAAGCACCATCCAATTGCTTTTCCATTACTTTCCTCTTAATAGAATAATATTTCATGGCATAAAGCAATCAGATCTAATAAAATTCCACGGTATCAGCACAAACAGCTTGTATGCAATCAAAATTAGAGCTTGACGAAGGAAAATGTTATTCAGCATAGACCATACGAACTATTCGAACAAGATCCAACGAGCAAAATTTGTAGAAAACATTTATACTGATAAAAGCAAGCATTGATAGACGCTAACCAGCTTTGATGGAGGCATCGGCTTGAGCAACGTTACGAGCCATGGCAGTTAGCAGCGCGATCCCATGCTCTGCCGCGGCGACAGTGTTAGCGGTTGGAGCATTAACGACAAGGCATCCATGCTCGGTGGCAGCGGCCAGATCCACGTTATCAATCCCCACGCCAGCTCGTCCGACGACCTTAAGCCTTCCATCGGAGGACTCAAAAACCTCACGAGTGACCTTGGTTCCACTGCGAACAATCAACGCATCGCAAAGCGAGATCTTGGTGCAAAGCTCTTCCGGACTCAAATTATAGGAGCAGTCGACGTTGGCGAAGTCCTTCAAGAGATTGATTCCAGCTTCGCCGAGCTTTTCCGCAACCAGGACGGTAGGTTTGGCGTCCATAGCGAAAACCACGAGCCTGGGGGAGTGGCGATGGTTGCTGCCGCAGCCACGGAGGGAGATGGCGGCAAAGGCGGAGGGAAGTGGAAGCTGGTTCTTCCATGAAAGTTTAGACGAGGGCGAGGGTTTTGAGATGAAAAGGCTCGTCGAGGAAGCTGAAGCCGCCGCCATTACAGAAAATTAGATTCGAAATCTTTTCCCTTTGCTTTCTGGGAATTGATGATGGTTGGTACGAAATCGCGCAGCAGGGGAGTGGGGTGGCGGCCGGGGAATTGGAAAATGAGACGTCTTTATGGTGGTATCCGTGGAAGTCGGGGTTGGGGTGACGCAAGTGTTAGTAAGGGAGTGAGTGAGCTCTGAGCAGGATAGGAGATTGTTTGAGATGGAGGTACGGATTGAGCACGCGCCTCAGTTTTGGGAGGGAAATTCGGTCAAAATGGAAGGGAGGGTGACCTGCACGGATATCCGTGAGTGTGGGATGTAAAATTGTAAATTGGATTGTAGTACTTTCTCTCCTTGATTTTTACAATTCGTCGATGGATTCTTGTAGCTCGCTTTGACAGAGTGGAAATTGGAAGTAGGTCCGCAATGCCTAAATGTTATGGTAGTAGGTGAGGCCAAAAAATGGTAAATGGACTAATGCCAACTTTCTCTTGGTCCTTGCTTTCCCCTCGTACCCTTCTTTTTTTTTTCCCCCTTAGTACTAGTAAGTAGTAGTAGCATATTCCCTATTTGACCTTCCTTGATCCAACTAGGAGGTTGTAAAACCGCCGTGGTTTTGCGCATATTTTATGCTCAGGATTATGTTAAAAATATATTTGAATGTACAAGTGTGTGTTTGTTTTTCCGGATTAAATAGTAGGAGAATATTTTAGAGATTTAAAAAGATGATTGTTTATTGTGAAAATAATTTCAATTTATATTGGATATCTAATCTATATCTATATAGATTTGAGAAGGGATTTTTAGCAATAAGCCTCCACACACCTTTCCGCTCTCAATTTCATTTTTATAACATTTCACATTTAATTTATTTCATAAAATATATCATGTCCACGTTTGAAACACACAATCATGTTTCTATCAAATTAGAATTATACTCCAACTAACACTCCTCTCTTCAGACACCTTACCACTCCAATTAATACTCCTCCAATTAGTAATTACATTTCGATTAAAACTCCTCCAACCTAGTAATAAAAAGATAACAAAAAATAATTTCACCAAAAATCGCAATTTACCATCTCTTTCAACTTTTTTCTGATATCGATCTTAACTCTCAAATAATTTGCAATCACATCTACGTTAAAAATTCTCTTAATTAATTAATTAATGAACACTTATCTACATATTATTTTGAATTAATGATTGTAATCTATACGTTTTTTGAATGGTTTTAGGTTAAATATTTTAGGATACTTTCTACATTCAAAGCGTTAACATAGACAATATGTTTAATGAGTTTGCAAAAATTGTGGACAATTGTATCAATCTCATTTTTTAAAAATGGTGTGTATTCATTGTAATGACGTAGTTGACACTATTGTCAGGTAATTATTTTCATATATCTTTAATTTTAATTACATTTTTTTATTGTACAAACACGCACGATTCATATTTCGGTATGATGATTCTTATCCTAGAGATTGAAAAGGAAAAGTATAATTTATTTATACATATATATATTTATACAATATTATTTACAAACTTTCTCAAACAAATGATAATTTTCAATTCCATATGCTCTTAATTGTTAGGAAAATTGAGTTACATTGTTTGACAAACACATTAATTCATGCAAAAATCGTGCATTCTCATTTATAGTACGGACTCCATAAAATTCAACATAATTAATTAAACTTCCAATACTGGCATTCATACTCATAGTTGATTCGTATAAAGAATGTTTTCACCTTCATAGAAGATTATCAAATTGAATACAAAATATTTGTAAGTATTTCATTTACTTATCAAATTAAATATTCAGTTACATTTAATTAAACCCTTATGTCACTCAATTTATGCTATAGATTTCTACTTTTTTTTTTCAGGATCCAACTTCCATTAATGTGGTAGTTTATAAATAATTGGGATGTTTTTATCATATATTGAACTATTGCTACAAAATCTCACTTTTTAACTATACTTTCACGTGCCCTAAATTATAAGAACAATTACATACATTTCTTACTCTATTTAAATTCCTCGCTTGATTATAATTTCTTCCAAAAATATGATCTACCACGAGTAGCACGGGTGTTTAGACTAGTATATATATAGTGAAAATGGTGTGCTCAAATTAACAAGTATTTAAATTACAACGAACAAACACACTTTCTTGAGCCAAGTGTCGGCAACTATAATCATTTCTTGCATTGTAAATAGGGATAATTTCATAAACCTTCCATGAGATTTCTGATAATTTCACTCACCTATCATGAAGTTTGTAAAATCACACAAACCTCCTTTAATGTTAAGATTTTGATAACAAAGTTAGTCCAATTAGAAAAAAATAATTAAAAAAAAGCACTTTAAGGAGAGAGATGAAATATTTATTTCATAAATACCCCTCATGCATGTATATAAGTAGTATTAATAAAAGAATAAAAATAATTAAAAGTTAGAAACAATTAATACACACATTTAACCACTAAAAAATGTTCACATTTAATAAATTAGATAACACAAATAAGCCACCAAACTGCACTAATGATTAAAGATTCAGCAAAATAGACTCGTCATCTCTTTTATTATAATATTTACTATGATTATTGTGATTTTGAATAGAAAAGTTTTCGAATTTTTCCTTTCTTTTCCCTCATTTCTTCCCTTATTTCCATGAAATTACATTACAATTGTCTCTTTTATTTTCATGAAATTACTTTACAATTATCACAACTTTACAATTATCACAACTTTACAATTATCACAACTTTACAATTATCACAACTTTACAATTATCACAACTTTAAGAGTTTCAAAGAAAATTGAAAAGAAAGGCTTCGTTTCAATTGTTGTTCTATCTTACACGCATCAAATCACTACAATATTTTTTTTATATAAAAACTCAAAAAAATTGCAATTCAAACAACAAAAAGGCTCCGTTTGAACAGATGTAAAGTCAAGTAAAAAAAATCGTGGGAAATTTATGGAAAGGAAAAATCTGTTTACATTTGGTTACCAAAAAAAAAATTGCTGAGAGAAAATGGGAAGTTGGTAGGAAAGTTATGGAAAGAAAAAGGAAAAATCTATTTGCATTTGATTAGTAAAAAAAATTTTGAGAGAATATGAGAAGTTGGTAATAATTAGTGATGATTATTAAAGTTTTTTGTCTTGCAAATTTTACATGACATAAATAACAAAGGGAAAGTGTAATTAATTTTCGGGAATTTCGCCAATTTGGTCCCTAAACATTTTCACTTAAACCAATTTCGTCCTTAATGAAATATTTTAACCAATTTAGTCCTTGAACTAGTTTTTTGCTTCCAATGTAGGACTTTTGACAACATTTTACTCACTTCGCGTGGACCAACAGGGGTATAATTGTCACACTTACTTAACCTGCTGCAATTATTCGAAAGACATTCTCCGCCAATGCGATTAACCTTGGAAAACAGAACAAAATTGGGGGAAATTGGGATTAGAACTAGGGCTGAGGTGAACGGATGATGGAGGCCAGAATTGAACACGGAATGTGACCATCAGAGGCAATGGACAATGGCGATTCTGACAAGGATGGCAACGATCAAATGGAGTCATCAACAAGATCAAGTAAGTCTGCACTTCAAACATAAACCTCATCAACCGTATGCATGAGGGGCTTGAGTTGACTGCCATTAGTGTGTTGGAATGGTGATAAAAGCATTGATAATGGAAGGGGTTGAGGGAGGGAGGGTTTAATTTGGCAGCATTGTATAGCAGGGATGGGGCATGAACAGGTTAGGGGATGTTGAAATTTTTGTTAAAGTACTTATAGATTCCACATGGAAAAGATCGCCACCCTTCTGACCCCTCTGACGCCGCCACCCTCCGCAGTGCTTCAATCGTTTGGTTCCGCAACGACCTTCGGGTACACGACAATGAGTGCCTCAACTCTGCCAACAACGAGTCCATGTCAGTCTTGCCCGTCTACTGTTTCGACCCGAGGGACTACGGGAAATCCTCTTCTGGGTTCGATAAGACTGGCCCGTTTAGGGCCACTTTCTTGCTTGAATCCGTCGCCGACTTGAGAAAAACTCTGCAGGCTAAGGGGTCTGATCTTGTGGTGAGAATTGGGAAGCCAGAGATTGTACTGGTGGAGCTGGCGCAGGCCGTTGGGGCGGAAGCTGTGTATGCCCACAGGGAGGTATCGCATGACGAGGTGAAGGCGGAGGATAATATCGAGGCGGTGTTGAAAGAGGAAGGAGTGGAGGTTAAGTACTTTTGGGGAAGCACATTGTATCATATTGACGATTTGCCCTTTAAATTGACGGAAATGCCGACTAACTACGGCGGGTTTAAGGAGAAAGTGCAGGGACTGGAGGTTAGGAAGACAATAGAGGCCCTGGATCAGGTGAAAGGATTGCCTGCTAAGGGAGATGTGGAGCCTGGGGAGATTCCGTCCTTGGTTGATTTGGGTCTCAAGAGTTTAGACAGTCTATGCTTCTTTCTAATGTCTATTTGAACGGGGGCTTATTCTTGACTGTGCTTGGATTTTGGGAATAGAGTGGGGCTGCGGAGCAAATTTATTTACTTGGATCCATGGTGTAAATCAAACCTCAATAATGATGAACTCCGAACTTGTCTAAAACTGGCTATTGAGCATTTAGTAATACGGAACTGTTTCTGTATAAAAAAAAAAAAGAAAAATTTGTACGGGTTGGGGATACTGGGGGCAGATGGAATGCATGTTGTTTTACTCATTTTTTTATTGCAAACTTACCTCCTGGCAGAATGGAAAGCCAGCAGCAAGTGCCTCTCTTGTCGGAGGGGAGACAGAAGCGTTGCAGAGGCTTGGAAGATTTGCAACTGAATCGCATTGGCGGGAATGTCTTTCTAATAATTGTAGCAGATTAAGCAAGTGTGACAATTATATCCCTGTTGGTCCACGCGAAGTGAGTAAAATGTTGTCAAAAGTCCTACATTGGAAGTAAAAAACTAGTTCAAGAACTAAATTGGTTAAAATATTTCATTAAGGACGAAATTGGTTTAAGTGAAAATGTTTAGGGATCAAATTGGTGAAATTCCCTTAATTTTCTCACTAAACAAATACATGCCCAATTTGGGAATGATTGAATTGAGTGATAAGATAAAGAGGAATGATAAGTTGGAGGTTTCGTTTCAACAACTCCCACTTACTTTTTTTTTAGAAAAAAAAAAACTAGTAACTAGAGAGAGCCCCCATTCAGTTGCATGGATCTACCAATTACCGACCTAAGCCCACAATCGGAAGAAAAAGTGGCAATGCAGGGAGGGCAAGGTCATCATGCTTAGCATGTTCGATAACTTGTGAGGTTGGCCCGCGGGACTCAAAAGAGGTAGGTAGTGAAATATTTTTTTTTTTTTTCCGAAAAAGGGTAGTGATGCTTAAAGAAATATTTTTTTGGATCTGTCCGGCAATCACCTCGTAATGAGATCTCCTGCTTCGAATCCTCTGTTTCCAAAATAGTCTTTGTCCCTTATTTGTATAGCTGTCACGTGTCTCTAACATTTTATTAATTCGAACTCAAATAAATCGATAATAATCAATTTATAAATTTACTCAAAATCAATTAAAATAGATAACTCAAAACTTTTTTTTTATTTTCTTTTTAACAAAAAAGAAGCTTGTTGATCATAAATATAAAAATCAACTAAAACTCTTCTTTATTTTTTATCCCAAATCAACAAAACTCTTTTTTGTTAAAAGAAAATAAAAAAAGATTTGAATTATCTGTTTTAATTAATTATGAGTAAACTTGTTAATCGATTATTATCGATTTATTTGACTTTGGATTAACAAAACGCTAGAGACACGTGTCAGTTATACAAATAAGGAACAAAGAGGATAGAGACTACTTGGGACAGAGGATTCGAAGCCGCATTAAGCAAGCAAGTACATAGATTTGAGTCTTAACTCTGCAACTTGGCACAAGATTTTTTATTTAGAAAAATTTAGTCCTCCGAGAATCAATGGAAACACACGTACTCTCTAGATGCAACAAACTTCGAAATTTGGATACAAATAAAAAACAGTTGGGGAGTTCAACGTTGTAGATTTATTCAAAGCACCTGATTATCCCGCCACTATGCTATGCGGGGAGTATGGTACGTAAAAACAGTGGCTAAAACAGCGGGGCCGGTGGGTGCGGGAAGGAAAGAACGGCCGGACATCGAATATTGCCATTTGCCAAGCCCGACCGAAAAGGACCCCACAATCCACATGATTATGTTTTAGGCCCTAACTGATACTAATACGACTACTAATATGATTATTAATATGTTTTGGAGCTCAAAAGCTTCTTATTACACACAATCAGAGACAGATTATCAAATTATTGCTAACTTGCGCCAAGTTGGCCCCATGGTCGTCTCTCATCCCTCGTTATTGCTCCCTCATCCCACGCACAAAACATACCACACCCCATTACAAAGAGGTAACTAACTTCATTCATACTGAAGAAGAAGAAGAAGAAGAAGAAGCGAAATTGGAAAGGTACGCATCGGCTAACATATGACCCAATTGAACCTGAGCCTGCGTAGTTAAGTGGAGATGATCTTCCTTGAGCTGCAGCCCTTTAGCATCCACGCATACCACATTGTCCATTTTCATCCCCATCTGTGCTTCCCTTATCTTGTCCACGTACTTTCCATCCCCCGAAGCTATTGCCACCTAATTGATAAGTTGCTGTAATTACAAGCAGTGCCTGACCCACCTCTTTTTTTTTTTTAAAAAAAAATTACTAAAAAAATGTCAACTAACCTGAATAATGGGAAGTGAGGGCAAATTAAGATCAGCACGGACATTCTTAATCAATGTCTCCATCTTAGCCTCATAGCATTCTGCATCTTTGTGCGACGACGTATCACTCTCACCTTGGTACCAAAGCATCGCCTTAATTTCACCACCGCCGCCGTTATGATGCACGGCGGCTTTGACCCTCTTGATCATATTCTCATACAAGTGGGTTCCACGTTCCCACTCTTTTATGGCTGTCCCGCCCACAGCACAAGGCACTAGGCCTACGATCCCCGCTCGCTCCTTCACTGCGTTGGCAAATGACATCCCCGGTCCCACCCCACATACTTTCTTGGTGTCGATGTCGTGGTGGAGTGGCTCACGCGCCGCTTCCCAGCGGAGGTGGGCGGTGAGGCGGAAGATGTTGGAAGGGTCCGGGGTACATTCTGGAGGAACGACGCCGTCCCAGTGCTTATGCTTAGAATGGTGGTCACGATTCACGCCGCCCCGGCCGGCCATGTTGCTCTGGCCTGAGAGGATGAAGATGTGTTTGGTGGATTGGGCTTCATTTCTCTGAGTTGAGTTGTGCAGCTCCATGAATTGGAGGCTATCGGGTTTGTTTCAGATTCAGGAAGTGGCGGTGTTAAAATGGGGTTTCTTGGTTTTAGGCTTTTAGTGGACTTTGGATTCCAATGCCAATTATTTTAGTCTTGTACTAGGTACCGGCCAATTATTTATTCCTGTACCTGGTACTGATGTCATATACTTTTTCCTTTTCTAATTTTTGTGGGGATAATTTTAGAAACTCGAGATTTTTGATAATTTTGCTAGCCTTCCTTCAAGTTTTGAAAATATTACAAACCTCACCTATTCATATATTTTTATAGGATGTCAGTCCAAATTAGAAAAAAAGCGAGAACAAAATATTTAATTTTAGGTTGGATTGCACATTATTTATACATTATTTACACGCACCTGCTTATTTGCATCATCAATGTGTTTTTCAACCATTTTTTTATTTTATATATATCTCATAAAAAAAATGTTACAGTATTTTTTTCAAAAAATTATCCCAAATAATCTCCTATCCAAACACACTCGATAGCTTTGAATTTCACAAATACCCTTTAGACTTATAGCATCACCGATATTTTTTTTTTCAAATCCTATCTTTAATTTAATTATGGATTACCCCCTTTGTTAGAGTTTGGTAGCAATCTTTTCCATATACTCAAGAAAATACACAAATGCTTCTTGATGGTTAACAAATCAAATACATTAATCAACTTTCGTATTATGCTACTAAACAAGAAATTTGGCCAGTCTATCTCTGCATTTACCAACAAGAAAAACAAAAGCATTAAGTTTTTTCGGACAACCTTTTGTGCAGTGTGGATATTAATGTTGGAAGATAGATGTTCAAGCAAACGTATATAATATTATTTCAACCGAACACTTACAAGTTACAATCCTACTTGGTGGTTTGATTGGTAATATAACAGCAATGATATGTGTTTTGCATCAGTCCTTTACGAAACTCATAAAATCTCCCTTTCTATACAAAAGGTGAGGCCTGCACTCGTGAAAGCTTTCAGGAGCAACTTTTGTCAAAATGAAAACTGATGAGTAGTTGAAACTTTTCGGCCCAATGGCCTAAAGGCTCATGCGTTTGGTTGGAGTTGGACTTTTGGGTTCGCCAGCAGTTACGTTTGGAAACACCTGTCCCACGATTTATTCTACGCCAGTGAAGGCAGTATATCAGCAGCGGTTAGGGTCTTAATATTCTGTTTGGGCTCTAAGTAAGGGTTCAAATTTTATTTATAGTAAAAAAAATTCAAGAGTTGTGCCAAAATACTTTCTTAGTCTAGTAAGGTCTCCCACTCCTCTAGTTTAGAATAGATAAATTATACAATAGTTGTCGTCTTATTGATTGAATTTTCACGCTCTGAATTTTAAGATGGTTAACACTTAATGGTCTAATCTTCTGTGAATTTTTTTTTTCTGTGAATTACTAAGAAGCCTGAAATCCGAATTATCCACACACACATTTAATGATGAAATGCTTGCATCTATTCTTCTATATTAAAAGTAGACTAGTGTTTCATATTGCAGCTCCTTGATTCTTTCTTGTAATCTCCTTTCCTTTAGTGAGCAATTACTCTGCTTCTCTGAGCATGTCAAACGCTTATCAAGACAAGCAAGTTCTCATTACGGTGCTCCCTTTCTTAACAACAAAGTAAAGATAAAATGCACCATATCATATGATAGACCGTCGGAATTCTGTCTTACGCAAATACCAATTTCATTCATCATCAGTCAAACTTTGCAACACTTGTACGAGTTTCCAACAAAAGCATTCCTCCCGCCAGACATTCCTCCAAGTCAAAAAGGCCAAAGGCGATCGCCCCTTTTTCTCTTTCTCTCTCTCTTTTTTCTCCACTATATTTAAGCTTTTGCCCGGCACCATGATTAGTACGAAGGAGAAGTCTGGATTCTATCAAGAACTTGAAGCGCATCTTTCATGGAAGGTCTCTTTTGCGGGTTCAATGAAGCACAACTAAAGCCTAGCTTAAAGCATTCCAGCATGGCATCCTCCCTGTTTGCCACGTCACCTCTAATTGCCACATCAGCCAACCGTAACACCCGGTTCTTGTCTTCCATCAGCAGGCCGGCGGTCCACTGGCCCAATTCCCGGTCTGAAAACACCTTGCCCGTTAAAAGCTCGAGCAGTAGAATTCCAAAGGAGTAAGCATCCCACTTGGGATTAGGCTTCAGGTTATTGAGCGACTCTGGGGCGTGATAGGGTGATGTGCAACCCATGAAGCCTGCAGGTGCAATGCAAGGGCTGCCATTGATAGAGTGGTCGTGCAGCCCGTCGCGAGAAGATGATGTAGCAGCAGCAGCAGCAGCGCTATTACTACTTCTCATGCTACCGAAATGCCGAGATGAAAAGGCGTCTGTTTTGTAGCTATTTTTGCCGTGTAGAAGCCAATGAAGCCCAAAATCGCTGATTATTGGCTCCATTTCTGG